ACGTTCAACATGCGAACAAAATAAGGACGAAGCGATCGTGTGAGAAATCGGAGGTTTTGCCTAATATGGAAAAGGAGTTTGAGAAATCTGAGCAGTTGCTAAATGACGAAGAGAGAACTATATAGTTAGAAGAGGTAGTGTTGATTACTGGTTCTAAGAAAAGACACAAAAGTCCCCGCTTATATATGTTCCATACATATATAACAAGAATTAAATCCAAAATTTTCCACAGAATTTCCAGAGCAGCTCCCAAATTGACAAACAATTGCATTTAATACAATACTAAATAAACTAGGTAAAATTAATTTACCCTGAACAAGATTACAATACACTACATGCTGCCCACATAATATATTAAGCAGGTGCTTCATTATAAATCAAGGATAAACCTCAATGAGAGACCTTAAACCCAAACAGGGAGTAATCTTATAGTGGCTGAAACCTGCGTCAGAAAAGAGCTTAGCCCATTCTTTCTCATTCCTTTCTTTTCCTGTGGCCAAGACCATCATCTCCATATCGAAGAAAAGTTGTGTTTCCCCAGATTCCTTATCTGTATTCTTGTCCTCCACCGTCATATCTACGATAATCACCTTACCTTTCTTGCCCTCTCTTGTAATTGCCTCTTTACATCGCTCAAGTATTTTCACGCATTCTTCATCACTCCAGTCATGCAATATCCACTGTTTGTCATGCAAAATCACCAAACAAAATCATCAATACTACGACAATTATCAAATTACTTATGGGCCCAATTTGATTTATACTTTAAAATCCATTTGGAAAGCATACTCTGCTTCAAATATATTGTATTGATCTATAAATGGAAATCTGTATTTAACAATATAATATCACTAAGGATGAGATGATTTACCTTCAAGAAAATAGCATCGGCCGCAGGAACAGCCTCAAACATGTCCCCTGCAACATATTCCAAGTTCTTACTCCCTTTTAGGTCAGCAACTACATGAGGGAGATCAAGTACAGCGCATTTCATATGAGGGAAGGCATCAGCAATGGACTTGGCCATGGTTCCTGTCCCACCGCCCACGTCAACCAACGAATCCACTCCTTGAAACACCCCCTTGCACTCATCAATCACCAAGCTTGAGATCAACTGGGCATCGCTAGCCATGGCGTCATTGAAAAAATGTGCAATAGTCGGGTCCTGGTTCCCATAATCCCAAAATGTCATCCCATGCAACATGTGAAACGGCGTAGGATTGTCATTTTGGAACCAAGTGGTCAAATACTGCCATGGATCGGTTAAGATGGGATTAAGCAAGGCAAGTAAGAAAGGCCTTGCGCTCATGGGATTGTCTTCCAGGAGGAGTGCGGAGGCGTCTGTTAGTACATAACCTTGTTCGCCGCCACTCAGACTTTCTCTAGCAAAGAAGCTGGAGTGGACTAAGATTCGCATGAGACGTGGGATGAAATGAGCTTTTGTTGGGGAAATTGGTAGGGCGGAGACAAGCTCACAAAGAGTCATGGGCTGGCCATGTTTTTGGATGACATCTGGGATACCTAATTGAACTGCACATTTGAGGGACATAGAATTTATGAAGCTGAAAATGTGGTTCCAAATGTGGGCTTGTGCTTGGAGTAGCTCATGACTTGCTCTCACTTCACTACCCATGCCTTGCTGTTGGCTCAAGATGTGGTGAGAATTAAGATTGATGCACATCTCTTTATATAAGCGTGTGGAGTGGAGGGGAGCTAGAGGAGCTTAATGCCATAAAGGAGAGATATATTTAGAAATTGGGATACCCATGTTTTCCATGTGAACGAAGTAATCAACGTGCTAGACATGTTATTGGTTCTTGTAATTGATGGTCGACCCTATTTTTTTCCTTCTACTGTATGCAATTACTGTTATGTAAACTCTTACAGCAAATAAAAAACAATGATATCGCACTAAAATGTGGTTTGTGCACGCAATATTGCTGGGGTCAGGAGAACGACGGAATTATAAAACTAAACTAATCCACACAACATGAATCATGTAAAGTCATTCATCTTTACTCGCTAATAAAGTGGTTATTAATATATATATATAGATATATAAAGTGGTTATTAACATAAAATCATGTAAGAAGAATGCAAGTAGCTAGTGCAGATCACACAAGAAAACACTAATTTAAAACATGAAAATAGTGTTGACGCGGTCTAGGCCACTGAAAAAAGATTTTGACTTGCACACCAATGGTCTCAAGTCGAACCCCCATATAGTGGCAGAACCATGTAGGGACCAGAGGGGTTCGATGCCCCTTCTCAGCTCTCTATTTTCTTCACACGCTCTCTCTCTTCCCTTTCTTTTTTCTTCTTTCCCCACTCTCTCCTTCTCTCTCTCTCTCTCTCTCTCTCTCTCTCTCTCTCTGTGAAATAATTTAATGTTGTGTATGAATTGAATTGAATATTAAAAATTAGCCAAGACATATTTCATTTAATTGTTTGATAATTATTGTGAACATTTTCATTTAATTGTTTTATAATTATTGTGAACATTCCTAGGAAATATAGTATCAATTTTTTCACGATTCAAATCATTCATTTTTTAGGTTGTTAATTATTCAAGGAACACTTATGCAAAATATTAGCCAAAATCGAAATTATTTAACTCTTTGATTATTATTGTGAAGTTTTCATTATTTAGTTAGATGATTAAATTTCGTTTAATTTGGCTAATATTTTTGCAAAGGTGACATGTAAGTATCCCCCAATGAGCAGTTAGTGCTTGAGTAGTGCTCCTATATATTAGCCACTCCTCATTGTATTTCAATTACTTGACTACTCAATTAAATAGTTGTGATTTTAGTTTTTTCTTAAAGGTGCTCTACCTATTTTGTTGGTCACAACTAGATGTCTATAAACTTATTATTTGGCTTCCATGAAGATATTAATTTAAAGCAGGCTAATATTGCTGGGGTTAGGAGCTCAGCCAAACAATATTCTTTCTTCCATATAATAATTAACCAAAAACAGAAGAAGGGCAACAAAATTTTGAAATTAATCAAAAATATGAATAATGTAAAAGTTGTCCATCTTTATTTGGTAATAAAGTGGTTATTAAAATATATATATATATATATATATATATATATACAGAGAGCTTTAATTGAGGGATCCCTCAAATAAGCTTATTTGAGGGACACCCCTTGTAGGCTCCACTCCAGATTGTATTTTACTAATCCAAACCGTCTATTTTGTAGATATTCATTCAAAGATCATCTCTACAAAAAATCACTTGAATCCGATATCATTTGACCACTCAATTGAGTTATTGAAATTTTAGTACTTTCTTGAAGCATCGTGTTCATTGATTTTGTAAGACACAATTGGATGTTGAAACGGTTTCCGATTTGTCTAATTTTTTGTAAGGATGATCTATGAATGAAGACCTAAAAAATAGATGCTTTCGATTATTGGGAAAAAAATTGTAGGGTACCCTAAAGGGCGTCCCTCAAATAAAATTATTTGAGGGATCCCTCAATAGAAGGGGACTATATATATATATATATAGTTGTTCTTATCAAGACGTTGCTGGTCTTTGATAATACTATATACTAGTCATATTGAGAAATGTGACTAAAGGTATTTGTCGGGATCCTTGATTGATTCACAGAGGCAAGTGACTGTACAAAATGAGATCTCTACTCTTAGTAAAGGAGAGAGAATGCTCCAAAAATATGATTTAGGAAATCTTTACAAAGTAATGAATATGATTAAAAAGGAAGTGTTGATATCAAATATGAATGGGGCATGCCAAATAGTTCCAAATAAGTAGGCACCCGGGTCACTTAAGGAAGAGACCGGGCCCAAAAGGCCAAGAATGAGGCCCAAAAACCCCTTATTCTGCGCCTAAGGAGGCCTTTAAAGAGGCTGACCAAGTACATTTACACTCATGTGATCGGCCTTTATGGACGACGTGTGGACAATATTGCCCATGGTGCTCCGAGCGCCTAGGTGCTTGGGAAATTGGCGGCTTTCCCCCTAGCTCACCTAATTTATTCATTAATATCCTTATTTTGAAACTCAATCACAAATGCCCCTTATAAAAACTCCTTATTGATAGCCTATTGCCCATTCTTCACTTAGTTTTTTTTTCCTCAGTCGTTGCTCTTCCTCTTCCTCTTCTTCCTTCTGCCAAACCTCACAAAATCCATCTCAACCATAGAATCTCCCCTAACTTTATCTCATCTTAGTTATGTCTTCCAACTAGGAGCTGATTTCAACCTTAAGGTTGAACCCCAAATTTGGAACCGGACCCTAGTCAAGGCACGACTCGCCACCTCCGTTGTCGGCCTCCACAACGAAGCCATAGTCTTGACTTGCCACCTCCATTGTCGACTTCCACCACAAAGCCACGACACCTTCATCGTTGATCTTCACTGTGGTGAGTTTTGATGTTGTTTTTTTTTAGTTTGTTTTTGTTTTGGTTTTCTTTGATTGATTGAGATTATTAGGTGATTGCTTTCACTGTTTTGAATGAGATATTAATGGGTTTCTGTTGTGGCTTGCTATTTATGTGATTGAATGAAATTTACCAACTATTTCATGTGGTTGTTAAGCTCTTGGACTTGGATACATTGTTTTGTGCTTATAATTTGTCTTTGAAATGATGTATACACTGTTTTGTGATTGAGACTAGGACTTGTAGAGTAATGTATTCACTCTTTTGGGTGGTATGATATTCGATATGAAACAATCTTGGACAGTCAAGGTTTGGCAATTTGTAAGTAGTTAGTTAGTAATAGGATACCCTAGGTTAATGGCTTTGGGTTGGATTTAACTTTAACAGTTCTTAATACATGCCTTCCTTGATGGAGCTTGAAACACAGCTATGCTAGTTGAACTGTTTCATTTTGCATAATACTGATGTTTTAAAATTGTTGGTTATTGATGTTTTATTGATGTTTTATCTATATGGTTTATCCACTAGTTGATAGATTTTTTATTGGTAGCTTAACATGTGTTAACAAAAGGAAATTTTACGATGGTCAGAAATGGACACAATTGCAATTTTGGTTTGCTACAATGGAAAATGGGTAACCTCAAAGAAGATGTGCACATATGAAGGGGGTGACTCAAAAGGCATAATAGTTTCGCGAAACATCACGTTTAGTGAGCTTTTGGAACGGGTGCATAGGATTGTTAATACAGAGAACAAGGAAGACAAGCTTTGTTTAAAGTTCTCAGTTTCAATATCCTCGAATGAGTGTAAGCGTATCAAGATTGAGGACAATGACAATGTTAAATTTTTTATTAAGTACATTTGTGACGTAATTCCTTCGAGCTCCTTTACTGGTCAGCATAGAAGACAGGGGAGTGACAAATGTCGTAGGTGATCGTATGCATATCACAACGGATATGAATTGGATGGCATGTTCTTTAAATTCCATAGTTGAAAGCAATGGTGATGTACATGGTGATTTTGGAACAGAATATTTAGACATGATTAATTTTACAAGGGTGGAGGGGGTGCATAGTGGTGATAATGGTACGGAAATGAATGGCTTGCAAATGCACTCAGCCCCTCCTATTTTGGCCAATTTGGAGACATTTTCACAAGTGGGTGTGGTGGGTTTCGGAACAATGTCTGAACTTTCTATTCGACATAATTGGAGGCAAATGGGTGAACAAAACGAGCATAATTTGGGTATTGTAAATGATGAAGAAGAAGATATTGAAAGCGCGTATTCATGGAATAACTGGGATCCAAAATTGGAAGTTGGGAAAATTTTCTCTAGTAAGGAAGCCCTGTCCAACAAGTTACAGTTGGTGGTAGTGAGAGGTCACTTTGAATTTAAGGTGAAGTAGTCTTGCAAGAGTCGATTGGTTGTGGTTTGTTCTCAAGATCCATGCCCATGGCGGCTTCGTGCATCTAGTTATGGAGAAAAGAACTTCATGATTGTGAAATATAATCCGGTACATGAATGTGATATGAGTTTTATACATGAAAAGCATCGTCATGCAAGTGCTAAACTCGTTGGTAATGCAGTGAAGCGGAAGTTGAAAGATTCTCACACAATATACACACCTAGTGATATAATCAGAGATGTGAAACAAAACTTTAGTGTCACCATTAATTATTGCAAAGCTTGGAGATCGAGGGAGTTAGCTCTAATGTCCACTAGAGGTTTAGTAGAGGAGGCATATTCTCTCCTCCCAGCTTATTGTCACGAATTAGAGCGTGTGAATTCTAGCACAAAGACATACATCCACACCGATGAGAACAATCACTTTTTGTATTTTTTTATGGCTGTTGGGGCATGTATTAGAGGGTTTCAATCTTCAATGCGACCAGTCATTGCTGTGGATGCCACGCATTTAAAATGTAAGTATAAGGGTGTCCTCTTTGTTGCCAATGCATTTGACGGAAATTGAAATATATATCCTCTTGCTTTTGGAATTGGGGATTTAGAGACGGAGGCATCATGGCATTGGTTTTTCAATAAGCTTCATGAAGCCATTGGTGAGTGTCCAAATCTTGTGATTATTTCTTATCGAAATATTAGAATAGAGAATGTGTGGCACAACGTTTTTCCAACGGCACAACATGGCATATGCTTTAACCATATGAAGGGGAACATGAAACACACTTTCAAATTGGAAAAACGTGATAAATTATTGCTATACTTTGAACAAGCTGCGAAATCTTATGGTATCTCTAAATTTGATCATCATTTTTGCAAGATCAAGGGAAATGATGAGGTTGCTCAATATCTTGAAAGCGCAGGATTACACAAGTGGTCTAAAGCTCACATAGATGGATGTCGATACAATGTAATGACAACAAATATTGCGGAGTCAATCAACTCAGTCCTTTGGTTTGCAAGGATGCTACCAGTGGTGCATTTGATTGATGAAATCATCAATCTGCTTGTCAAATGGTTCAGTAAAAGTCGTGATTTTGCTTTGAAATGTACATCAACATTGTGCCCTGACTTTGGCGAGAAGAAGCTGAGACGCAGGTTAGAATGTGCTTCAAGGATGAATGTCGTGAAACTGAATCACGTAGAGTACAATGTCGTGGACGGTGATATGGACTGCCACGTACATTTGACGAATAACACTTGCAGTCGTAGGAATTTTCAGCTTGAGCAACTACCTTGCAAGCATGTAGATGTAGTTTGCCGTTTCTTGAAACTATATGTATACTCCATGGCTTCTCGTTATTACACTCGAAATACATGGTTAAATGCTTATTCATATACCATCAACCCGGTACAACCTCAAGAGCTATGGGTTATTCCTGAAGATGTCACTAGTACAAAAAGTGAAAAAGATGACCAGAAAAAAATGACGGTTTTATAAAACCGCCGTGTAAAATTAACTTAAACACCTAAAAAATGGGGATTCCAATGGTTGTTTTTAAAAAACGACACACCTAATTTAAAAAGCGATGTCTTATTGAAAAAGGTTTTCCTCAGAGTAAAATCTGAGCCCACAAACAATGGCAGAAGGTATGAATAAACCGACGTAGAAAGTAAAGACGACGGTTTAAAGAAATAGCCACCGTTTTTACTCTGTAATAACCATGACCAAGTTTTCGTATCCCGCGTCGCATAATTTCAAAAGAATCCATGGCGGTAAATTACAAAATATCGCCGTCTTAAATAAATGTACAAGGACGACAAAAATAAATTTATTGACTTATTTCTTGTACCATACTACGACGGTATCTTTAACTCTAACCACGTTGGTCTGTTCAATTAACGCCGTATAATAAAATTTACCATGTCGTGAAGTGAAAATTACCGTCGTATTTATTTACTTTATACGTCTACCCTTATACCTAAATGGTCGTCTTAATTACATTATTTTTTACTAATTATTTCTTTGATTTTGGTATCCTACGACGGTAGAACAACTTAATGACAAGAATTGAGAATAACCACATTGGTTTATATAGAAAACCGCCAATAGAATAGATTTTTCTGAGATCCAATAGATACGTCGTGAAGTTAAAATTACCGTTGTATTTATTCACTTTATACGTCCGACCTTATATCTAAATCGTCGTCTTAATAGTATTTTTTTTTAAATTTTTATTTCTTGGATTTTGTTATCCTCATCTGTAGATCAACTTAATGACAAGAATTGAGAATAACCACAACTGTTTATATAGAAAACAACCGTCAGAATCAGATCTGAGATCCCAAGAGTTACGAAATCTTACTAGATGGAACTCTATTCCTCATCATAATCGGACAAGAGAAAGACAATATTTTAGAGGTTGATGACATATACAAAGGCACATACACATCAACATCCAAAAATTTACCTCTAAAATTTGACGACGGCAACCACATATTTGCATTTAGAAAGGTAATTTTTTGGAAGTTGATGATGTGTGTGTGTTTGTGTCTTTCAGAACACAAATGCACACATACATCAACATCCAAGAAATTGCCTCTAAAATTTGATGATGGCAGCCACAGATTTGTATTCAGAGAGACAATATTTTAGAGATTGATGATGTATGTGTATTTGTGTCTCAATTGAGACACAAATACACACACATCAACATCCAAAATTTGCCTATAAAATTTGACAACGGTAGCAACAGATTTGCATTCAGAGATAAATTTTTATGAACGTTGGTGATGTATATATGTTTGTGAATCAGATACACAAACATACACACACACACACACCAACATCCAAACAATTGCCTCCTAAGAGGTGAGACAGAGGGCAAGAAGAAGTTGGAACCCTAATTGAAAACTTAAAATGAAAGAAATCGTGGAAAAAAACTCAATTTATAAAATAAAAAAAATTTCATATCCATGTCGGTTATATTAAACATAACGCCGTTTAACAAAGGAATCCACATCGGTTCTTGAAACACGGATGACGTATTACACATACAAACATCGTCGGTGCTTAAACTAAAGGTAACGAGGTTTTAGAAAACCACACTACTACAAAAAAGGAAAAACACAACGGGAATTCACCGTCGTGTATTCTGTTTTCAAATGGTCGTGGAATCCACCGACATCTTTTCCATAACCAAACCACGACGGTGAATAACCGTCGTTGTTAAAACAAAAAACGTCATCAAAAAATAAAAACCGACGTCTTTGTGCTGCAAAAAGACATAAAAAAACAGTCGAGGATGAGAATAGACGACCAACTCCAACAAAAAAAACGTCGTTAAAAAGGAAACAGATGACATATATTAACAGAACATGGCCGCAAGATAAACATACAACGACGAGAACTAAAACTTAACGCCGTTAAATAAATATTTAACGACAAATATAAATACGACGTCTTTACAATCATAATAGACGACGTTATTGACACCTACTACGTCACAACATTTCCCACAACCGTCGTAAAATAAATTTTCCACTTCGATTTTTCTATGAATTATGACGTGGAAATAGATGTCAGGGTCATTACTTACGACGCATGTATTTACAGAGACGACGTTGAATTGGATAAATAACGTCGGTTCCAAATAAATGAGAGCCGTATTACAGAATTTATACGTCATATTTTGAAAATAAAAGACGTGAAAAAAGATGGTGTCATTAATTACGACACAGTAATTTATAATGGACGACGTTGTAGTCTATATACAACGTCGTTACCATTAAAAAGACTGTCGTCTTTAATAATTTATACGTCTTCATTTAAAAAATTGACGTCGTCTAATTCATATATCTTAACGTCGACAAGTTTAATGGACTTCAAATACCGTCGTAAAATAAATTTTCCACTTCGAATTTTCTACGAATTATGACGTGGAAATAGATGTCAGGTTCATTAATTACGACGTATGTATTTACTGAGAGGACGTTGAAATGAATAAACAACGTCGGTTCCAAATAAATGAGAGCCGTATTACAGAATTTATACGTCATATTTTGAAAATAAACAACGTGGAAAAAATGATGGGGTCATTAATTACGACACAGTAATTTATAAGGACGACGTTGTCGTCTATATACAACGTCGGTACCATGAAAAAGACCGTCGTGTTTAATAATTTATACGTCTTCATTAAAAAAATTAACGTCGTCTAATTCATAAATCTTAACGTCGACAAATTTAATGGACTTCAAATACCGTCGTGAATTCATCCTTTTCCACTTCGTTTATGAAAACATGCGACGTGGTAAATTCATGACGACGTCGTCTTTTGTAACGTTCAGGTTAAAGTTCTCGTCTTTTAGACGTCGGTGTTATGGGATTGGAGTCGTGTTATTTTGAATTACATGGCGGTTCTTTATGCTTGTCCGACGTGTTATCCTGGATAACTGTTTCACAATAGCGTCGTGGTTCTTCATTGTTACTTTGCTTTAAGACGTCGGTAAATATATTGCGGTCGTTGAATGCTCCAAAACGTCGTTATTTATTAGAACAGACGTTTGTTTTTCACATTTTTATCAAAACTGTCGTGTTTGTAATCTGGAACCAGTAATTTTTGTACTGATTGTTTTGTGGCCAAAACCTGTATAATGAAAGTGAAGAAATCACATTACAATATATTACAAAATTAATGTCATACACTGCCAATTACATAAAGCATCATTCAACCCATATTCTTCACACCCATCTCGAATATTTTGACTCCCTAACTCAACCACCACTTCATCAAATGTGTCAACATTTGGCATCCCCCTAGTAAATGGCTCACACTCAATTCTCACATCACCTAAGACATCATCACCAATAACATCATTATATTCTCTATTAGGCATTGATAACACTACCGACCAACCACGATGCATCGGGTCGTCAACAAAAAATACTTGTTTGACTTGAGAAGCCAAAACAAATTGGTCATCCTATGTCCAATTTTACTCAAATCTACAAGGGTAAATCCAAGTTCGTCCACTACAAGACCAGAAGTATTATCAATCCAATCACACCTAAAGACTGGGATTGTAAACTTTTGGTAGTCAAGGTCCCAAATTTCTTGAATGACACCATAGAAACCCATATTTGAGAGAATTGGGTTTTATCCTTGGCACTAGCAACTTGCATAGTATGTGCAAGTAAATAAACTCCACTATTTTGAGTTGTCCGCACATCATCTTGTGCCTTGATGTTGAATTTAATACCTTTAATGAGATAGCTCCTATATAATGGCACTGCCATGTTTGGACCAGCTGCTAGCCACCTTAAATTTTCTGATACGCCATGATTGTCTTCCTCATTAAGTTCACTTTGAACCAGCAAATTAATCATAACTTAATTCAATCTAACATAGAAAGAAGAAAATTAGAAGTCCAATATGTTATTCAATAACATATACCTTGAAGCGTAGCCATTGAATGAAAGTGCTATTGTGCTTATCCTGCAGCCACTTTGTTCTCTTTCTAAATTTTGGATAAGCGGTCTGGATGTGGATCATATGTTGCCTACATGACACACAAAATTCAAGTATTACGGTCCCAAACATATAAGATAAACATAAGAAATAATTTAAAATGGAAACTTAAAGAATAAAACTCATACGTACTCGATATAAGGTAGGACTTCCTCCGTATTCTCCAAGACATATAGATGTGCTTGGTTCAACAGGTCCCGATCAACTACGCTCACTGTGCAACCTGATAATGGCTTTGAAACTTCCATCTTTTGGCTTGAAGGCACTCCAACTGTACTAACATCAGATAAATGCTCGGTACAAAACTTTACAGCTTTTTTAGCTATATACCGCTCAGCAATGCAACCTTCGGGACGAGTACGATTCTGAACATACCCCTTTAGCACTTTCATATATCTTTCAAACAGATACATCCATCTAAAATATACTGGCCCACACAGACGAACTTCTCTGACAAGATGTACTACTAGATGAACCATGATATCAAAGAATGAAGGGGGAAAGTACTTCTCAAGCAAACACAAAGTAACTACTACATCTTCTTCCAACTTATCTAGCTTGGAAACATCAACAGTCTTTGCACATATAGCATTGAAGAAGAAGCACAAACGAGTTATTGCATACCTTGCAGGCTTCTCCAAAACAGAACGAATTGCCACAGGGAGCAATTGTTGCATTAAGGTATGACAATCATGTGATTTAAGGCCAAGAAGTCTTGAATCTTGTAAAGATACAAGATTTTTTATATTTGAAGAATAACCTTCAGGGACCTTCATACCATAGAAAAAATTGCAAACCTCTCTCTTCTCTGCTCTTGACAAATTCCAAGGCCCGGGAGGCAAACGAGTACGTCTTTCTCCATACTCGGGTTGCAAATCAGTTTTGACCCCCATGTTCAATAAATCTAATCGAGCAGCAATCCCATCTTTATTTTTTCCAGGGATCTCCAGCAATGTACCAATGATACTATCGCAAACATTCTTCTCAATGTGCATAACATCTAGGACATGCCTCACAGGAAGGTATTTCCAATACTCGAGATCAAAGAATATTGATTTCTTCTTCCAACAAACTCTGTCACCATCTTCAACCATATGCAGCACTTCTTCTCCGGTTAATGGCTCAGGAGGCGTGCCATATTCAGGTTTTCCATTAAAAGCTGCACGTTGCCTCCTATATGGATGATTGATCGGTAACCATTTTCCATGCCCAATGTAACAAATTTTGTGGCCATTTTTCAACCTGTGACTAGGTGTATCATCGCCGCATATTGGACAAGCTTTATATCCTTTAACAACACAACCAGATAAGTTTCCATAGGCGGGGAAATCATTAATTGTCCACATTAATGCAGCTCTGAGTGTAAAGTATTCTCCATTATGTGCATCATACACTCCTCCAATCCCATCCCACAAAGATTTTAAATCATCAATCAAAGGCTCCAAGTAGACGTCTATATCATTTCCGGGCTGTTTAGGACCGGAAATCAATAAGGTCAACATCATGAACTTTCGTTTCATGCACAGCCATGGAGGGAGATTATATGTAACTAAGATAACTGGCCAGCAACTATATCTGCTACTTAGAGAACTGTGGGGATTGAATCCATCAGATGAAAGAGCCAATCTCAAGTTTCTCGGCTCATTACCAAACTCGGGCCATTTATCATCAAGAAGTTTCCAAGACGGGGAATCCGCTGGATGAGACATATAACCGTCAATTGATTTTCTAGCAGCATGCCAAGTCAAACTCTTAGCGGTCTCATGTGATCGAAACATCCTTTTAAACCTTGGAATTGGAGGAAAATACCACACCACCTTCGCTGGCACACCCTCTTTCAAGATTGAATCTTTGCCTTCCTTCCACCTTGAGATACCACAATTAGGACAATGAGTTAAATCCTCATACTCCTTCCTATACAAGATGCAATCATTGGGGCATGCGTGCATTTTCTCATAACTCAGCCCCAATGCACACAAAGTCTTTTTTGCCTCATACATAGAGGCCGGTATTGTATTTCCTTCTGGAAGCAAATCGCCTTGAAGTATCAATAATTCTGTAAAACAGACATCACTCATCCCATATTTTGCCTTCAAATTATACAACTTCACTAATGCCGATAACTTCGTGTACTTTCTACAACCAGGGTACAATGGTTGATCTCCATCCCCAATCACATTGGCAAACTCATAAGGATCAGATCCAAAATCACCAAAATCATTATCATCCATCTCTATTTCTTCAGACACAAAACTGTACCTACTATGGTCATCATCTTCTTCAACATTTCTACTAGCATTAGTAGCTGCTTCCCAAGGTTCTCCGTGAAATGTCCAATTCTTATAGCTTTGGTCAACTCCATTAAAGTATAAGTGATCCCTTATAATTCCAACCCCAAACAATTTCAAATTAACACATTTAACACATGGACAACGGATATGTGTGGTAGTTAGAAGATTTTCTACAGAAAAGTTCAAAAATGCTTCCACCCCTAACTCATATGCCTTCGATCTTCTATCCGAGTGCATCCATGACTTATCCATCTCCGACACTATACCCTATTATATATAATAAAGTGAAAAGACAAGCAATGACCATCACTATAGCAGATTATATAAAGTCTAATAGCAAGTAATATACAACAGAGACGACGGTTTTTAAACAAAAACAGACGTATTTGACATATATAGACGACGGATTTTACGTCGTCTAATTATAACCACGACGGTAGTTAAATAACACCGTCGTGTATAAGTAATAAAAACGACGGTTTAAAGTAAAAACCGTCGTCGTATGCCTGAAAACGCGTCGATATCCAGTTTATTTTCAAGATCCCAAAACCCTATTAAGAACACAACATAGACATGAAACCAAGCAAGAAACCAACATATACATGAAACCAACATATACTAAGCATGAAAACAATAAATCCATTCCCAAATTCAACATAACAGAGAGTGATTAAAAGATCCGACAAAATGAAATCCATTCCATATTCAACATAACAGAGAGTGATCAAGAAAACATTAAACAGAAAATCCATGAACCCATACCTCCAACAACATTATTAACAGATCGCAAAACATATACCTAAAACCCTTTAACAAAACAACGTAATATATCATTCAATGAATTTACAAGGGGAAGAGAGGGTTTGTACTTACAGGTTGGCAGAGCTCACAGATTATGACCAAATTGGATTTGACACAGCCTGGCCCAACTTTGAATTAGAGATGAAGTGAGAGAGCGAAATGTTATGTTGCGCGAAATCTGAAAATTTTAGGGTTCAGGGTTAGAAGTATAAAAATAAGAGCCAAATCTGAAAATTTTAGGTCCCGCAAATATTTTAAGAAAGCGCGCTTTTTAAAACATCGACCGAAAAAACAAGCGTCGTTAAAATTTAACATTAAACATGACGCTTATTACATTAAGGACGTCGTGGTAAAACTATGTACCACGCAAAATCAAAAAAGGCGTTAAAACTATGAAAAACCACGGCGGGGTTAAGTAACTAACGACGTTGTAAATAATAATAAACGACTAACAGGTAAACAAAACGTCGTTTAAAAGAGAAACCACGTCGGATTTTTCACCATACGACGTAAACTCAATATTCCACGACTCAATCACCGTCGTTAAAAGTAATACCCTAAACTTTAAAACCATAAATTATATATTTGTAAAATTTAATTTTATAAAATTGTTTATGGTTTTACATCCTAATAAATAACAAACATAAACCCTAAACCCCAAAAATTATACTTTAACCATAAACCCTAATAAATAACAACCCTAAACCCCAAACCCTAAACCCTAAACCATCAAACTATATAAGTGATGCTATGACTCATCAAAACAATTTTATTTTGGTTGGTCATTTTAAACTTTTATTACACAAACTGCATTTTTTTGGGTTTTAGGGGGAAGAAAATATATCAATGACTTCATAGGAGTTGAAGTTGAATTTTTTGAATTTATTTTAAATTTATTTTTAAAATTTTGAATTAAAAATAATAAAATATTCTTATATCAACAACAAACCACGACGTTGTAAATAATAATAAACGACTCACATGTAAAAAGGACGTCGTTTAAAAGAGAAACCATGGCGGATGTTTCACCATCTGACGTAAAATACATATTCCACGACCGAATCACCGTCGTTAAAAGGTATTAACCTAAACCCTAATAAACGACTTACTTGTTCAAAAGGACGTCGTTAAAAAGCGAAATTGTCATCAAAACGACGTCCCATGTACGTCCCATCACGTCTAAATATCATTTTACGTCGGTTTTTTACATAATTATGTCGTTGGAAAGTTATTACACGTCGGTTACGCAATTTGTTTTTTCTTTTATATTATGAAAACCTCAGCAAATTTTCAGGGAAAAAAAGGATGTATATTATAGACAAAATTTGTACATTATATATTATAGACAAAATTAGTACATATAAAAATATCAAGTGTTCCAAAAATCCTCTAATCCATATGAAGGCAAACAAACTCTGCCCATTCTTTCCTGACTTCATCAATGGCTGCTTGGGGGTATGGCGCTTGATCTTTTCCCTTGGCAAACTGCAATCCATAAACAATGATTATTAAGCTTTACAAAATAAAAAGAAATTCAGACACAGACGACGTTTTTTTTCATAACCGACGTAGTCTATCGATTCAACGACGGTAATTTTAAATGACCGTCGTTGATAATACAAAAAACCACATAAAATGTTTCTGAAAATTTTATTCTTACCTTCTTCTCAAACTCCAAGGAAGGATCCATGATGATGTCCCTCATGAAGCGCATCACATAATACCCGCATTCGACACTGCTGGGTTGCTTTGGTGTGCCTGGCAGAGTTTTCCAAATTGGTGCTTTACGGCCTGGTCTGCCTATGTGGGAATTATAAATTTTTAAAGCACTGTTCACGATGTTTTTGCCCTCCTCATCAACCACACGATTTCCAGGCAGAGGATCCAGAAAATAGACGGTTTCCCTCTTTGCCCTCACAATCAGCAAGACCCACACAAAAATAAAATAAAAAACGACGGTTAATATAAAAAGTCAGCACCAGAAAACAAACGACGTTTATTTATAAAAACCGACGTATTATATAGTTTCACACGACGTAATAACTTAATCATCGACGTCATTATAAATTTATCACGACGGTAATTAACTACCGACGTGGTTAGTTGTTTCAAACGACTCAATAAATAAATAACCGACGTGGTTAGATGTTTCAAACGACACAGAATTAGTTAAACAGTTTTATAAGTGGTCAGTTAGTGAAAATCATACAAACAAAATCCTTTTAAGGAGACTAACCCTGGATTGTAAGGCATCATGAAAATCTGTTCACCATCTGTTTTCTGAAGTCGACTGGCTACAATTCGTGATCTGTCAGTTAGTGACCCAGCGTTGGCACTAACTTGAGCAGGGTCGATAAAGCCAACCATGCTGCACATATTTGCTTCTCTCAAAAGATCATATAAGCACCTAAATATATAAAACAAACGACGGTTATTTATACACAAACGACGTATTATACAATTTCACACGACGAACTGAAATAGAAACAGACGTGATAACTAATTTATCACGACGGTAAAAAAAGAACGACGTGGTTAGTGGTTTAAAACGACGCAATAATTAAACAACCGACGTCTTATGATATAATGTTTGATATTTGATTAGGACAAACCTCATATATACTGCAACCACAGTAGCCCCAATTTCTTCCATGCCTGCAAACTGTGTAATATCTTCATGCAAGACGAAGGTACCTCGATCTGCACCAAACACCTCCTTCTCAATGTTGAAGGTCATGATCTTCCCCTGTGGCTTTAGTGTAGTTTCCACATAACCACAAAGGGATTGTAAGGAAGATGGCACCTCCACATTTGAATAATCAACTACTTCATTACCCTGTTTAAAGAAATAAAGCAAAATAAAATGACGTGGTAATTCATTAAAAACGACGGTTTAAATTAAAAAACGTCGTCTGATTATAATTTAAACGACGGTAATTAAATACCGTCGTTTTAGATAATTTATTACGTCGTAGAAAATAAATTCCGACGTCTAATGTGAAAACAAACAACGGTTTAAAGAAAAATATCGACGTCTGAAATGTGAAAAACAAATTAAAAAGGCAAAGTTATGAGAATATACCTCCTCGTCATGCTTTTCTTCATCTTGTTTTTCTTCTTTCTTCTCTTCATCATTTGTGTCTTCCTTTTTGCCTTCATCTTTTTTCTCTTTTTTTCTTCCTTCTTCCCTTCATCTTTTTTTTCTCCCATCTTCTCTTCATCTTTATTTTCTTCTTTCTTCTCTTCATCTTGATTATCTAAAGCCCCAGATTTCTGTTTTAAATAATAAAGAAATATATATATAAGACAGATTGTACAGAGAGTAAAAAAATTAAACCAAAACGTTGTGGTAAGGCATAACATAAGACGGTATGTAAGAATTATGGACGTCTTAAAATTATTAAACGATGGTAAATAATAAACGTCGTGGTAATTGTATATTACGTCGTTAAGGACTAAAACCGTCGTCTAAAAACCACAAAGTACGACGTCTAATGGCGTGTAAAACAAGTAAACTAAATACGACGTGGTATTTAAATAAACACGACGGGTTATTTATAAAATCGTCGTGGTATGGTTTTAAAACGACGGTTTATTCATAATAACGACGTCTAATGTTTAAAAAAAAACAAAGAATTCAAAGTTCAGATATGTTACCGTTTCTTCCTGCTGTTCCCCATTTCTGGCAGTATCATCCTCTAAATGTAGGGATCTCACTTCAGCCCCAGAACAGCTTGCTTTATCAGACATTGGATTTTTGGGAATTTGCTGTAGACCTTGGTTTTGACAGGGGCTAGTTTTCGGTTTAAGCATGCTTGGATCAAAATTGGGGATGAGGTGGGAAAGCTGACTTAGTAAATGTTCCCTCTCAGCCTCTACTAATTGTTTGGTTCTAGCTTCCATCTTCTTAGTCTCTTCTTGAAGGACAATTCTTACACTTTCCTTCAATTGATCAGCAAACTTTACCCTCTGTGGTCTAGGTAAATTGAAGAATTGCCTAGGGGAAATCCCAGCACCTACCCCTCTTACTCTCCCTGGATGCTCGGGACCCAAAGCCAAGGTCAACACATCATTACTGCCAGTTAAACTCAGACTGCCTTCAGCCACTTGTTTTTGCAATCCATCCTAAAACAAAGACATACAAAAAAGTCAGCACAAGAAAACACACGACGGTTATTTATAAACAAACGACGCATTATATAATTTCACACGACGCACCAATATAGAAATCGACGTTATAATATATTTATAACGACGTTAATTAAAACCGACGTGGTTAGTTGTTTAAAACGACGCAATAAATAAACCACCGACGTCTTATGCTGTAATTACAGAAAACAGAGTTGTGATTCCAGATTTAGATCTTTCACGACGTTTTTGAAAACATTTCGACGTAGTAATAACATTAACACGACGAAAAAAATTAACCACCGACGTCTTATGCTATAATTACAGAAAACAGACTTGTGATCCCAGATTTAGATCTTTCACGACGTTTTTTAAAATATTTCGAAGTAGTAAAATCATTCACACGACGGAAAAATATAACATAAGACGTAATAAGAATTATACACAGTTTAATAAAAATTTAAAACAGAGTGTGTAGGCTTACAATTAATTTTGCTTTCTCTGCCACCTTTGGATCCGGGATGTTACCATGTTTGTCCTGTCTAGCTTTCTTCCATAAGGTAGATCGATCAATTTCTACCCCAGGCATGGTTTCCTCCAATTGATCCTCCAAACCAGCATATCCTTTTCGAGACAATCGATGATTGTACTCAAGTTTCTCCCTAATCTGTGAATGTTGAGAATGCACAGACTCAAATTCTTTGGATAACCTTGAAGCTACAAAGGCATCCCATTCTGCTTTCTCTATGAATTTATATACTTCAGGGGGTTGGCTTAATTTCTCCCTCTCCTTGATGTATGGAAGGATATAATGCCTCGTCAGTGTAGACTTGAAATCCTTCCATTTCTTGGCAGCAGAAGATAACACCGAGGTCTTGCCCCCTTGACCTACCACAAAAGCCATGTCAACGGCTTCCCAAATCTGCTCCTTTATATCCTTGGGGATTTCAGCCCATTTCTTGTCCACAAGTGGGACTCTGGAGCGTGCCAACACACCAATGTAGGACTGCATCTCAGTATGTGCAGGGCCACATCCTTTCCCCCTTTTATTGTACTCAACAACTGGCTTGATTTTCTGCAATTTTCTCTTCACAACACGAGGCATTGTGCTCATACCTCGACCTGACTTTGAATCCTCAGAAATTGTTGTCGTGCTGCTTGGTTCTGTCTCAGCAGATGAAACAAACTTCATCTTCTTCAAGGGCTTGTCTTGAGGAGTTACCATTCCAAGCTCCTTACCTCCATTTTTTTTGGAGCCAGAGTACTTACTTTGGTCTTGAGAAACCATGGTTACAGAATAAACAAACCTGCAAGTGAAAATATTTCGGGAAAAAAATTAGAACACAAACGACGGTTATTTATAAACTACGACGTATGATAAGATTTTACACGACGTAATAACATAACATCAGACGTAATAAATGTTTAAAGAAGAAACAATATAAATGTTTAAACAACGACGAAACAATATTAAATAAGACGTAATAAGAACTTATTACGGCGATATTTACACGACGTCGTGATATTCATATTAACACGACGTAAATATTAATATAACGTCGTGTTATGGATATTCACACGACGTGAATAATAAGCTACCGTCGTATTTATAAGAAACCAAAAACATTTTTCTTTCTCTGTGAATGTTTGATTGCAGGTTTAATTTCTCTGAAACATGGTTTTTGTTTTTCCTAATTTGATAAAATACAAAGAAAAAAAGCTTTGGCATCTTTTTATAGACGACGGTATCTTAGTATAACGTCGTGGTATGAACATTCACACGGCGTCAATAATAAGATACCGTCGTCTATATAAGATACCAAACCCTACTTTCTTTGTCTCTGTATTTTATCAAATTAGGAAAAACGAAAACCATGGTTCAGAGAAATCAAACCTGCAACTAAACAAGCAAATAAAAAATTGACCGTCATTTTAAAAACAACTTAGATCAATTTTAAGACGACGCTAGGACGACTGACGAACCGTCGTGGTCTACATATTTAACCACGTAAATAAAAAGCTACCGTCGTCTTATTTAGTTGAATTAGTTGTGTTCAAAGTTGAAACTTTCCCTCTCTGTCTGTGTATTTTATCAAACTTGGAAAGAATAAAAATGATTTTCGCCAGAAAAAAGGTAAAAAGATTTTCAAAACAAAAACAGTATGAGCATGCAAAATAGCAACAAAAATAGTGAGAAATGAAAGCTTACCTTTTGCGTGCAATGAAAGCTTTCTCTCGGATTTTGGTGTTTAAGTTCAGAGGCGACGACGAAGACAAGAGGAAGACGATGAGATACTCTGACAGTGCTCTGACAAGGAAAAAAGACGAAAAGTTTTCTTTGGGAGATTGAAATTTTTTCTCGGGTTTGGAAACAGTGCATGTGTAAGTCAGGTAGACGAAAAGTTGTATATGTATACAAACCGTTTCATAGTAATAAGACGGCGGTTTACATAGAACGACGACGTATTAATAGACAAACTACGACGTTAATTTGAACTTATGACGTATTAATAGACGGTAGTGTTGTAGGTACCGCCGTAGTAAACTCCTAAATAAAAGTCGATAACTCAATATCTCGCGTCATGGTAGAAATATTTAACACGACGGTTGTTTTAAATTTACGACGTTTATTTTTATAATATACGTCGTTTTATTGTAATATACCGACGTGGATAACACTAAACTAAAACGACGTTTTATTTTTTTCACGACGTGGATTCGTTTTTAAACGTCGTTATGTGTAATATAACCGACGTGGATTTTATTTTTTTTATTATTAATATAATTTTTTTCCCCTTTTTCTTATAGTTTATTTTTCAAAAACAGTGCCTTATAGATATAGTTTTTTTTCCCGAGGAAATTAATGTTCTAAAATTTGTAAAGTTTCTTTTCTAGGTGACTGATTTAAATCAAATAAAAATATAAAACAACGACTGTTTTTGTTATACCGTCGTCGTTTCTTGTCGTCTTAAGTAAGAATAAAACGACATAATGTATTTGTTACCGACGAGGATTATTTTTGTTAAACGTCGTTATGTGTAATATAACCGACGTGGATTTGGTTTTTTAATTATAAATAGGGTTTTTTTCTACGGGTTCTTTCAGTTTTAGTATTCGATTAGGGTTTCAACTTCTTCTTGCCCCTTTCTCTGTCTCACCTCATCTCTTGGGAGGCAATTGTTTGAATGTTGGTTATCTGTGGCTGATTGCAAATCACCAATTTTCAATAAATTGTCTCTCTGATTGCAAATCTGTGGCTGTCGTCGTGAAGTTTTAGGAGGCAATTGTTTGGATGTGAATGTGTGTGTGCGTTTGTGTAGATACACAAACGCACACACATCATTCACTTCCAAAAATTGTCTCTCTGATTGCAAATCTGTGGCTGCCGTCGTGAAATTTTAGGAGGCAATTGTTTGGATGTTGATGTGTGCGTGCGTTTGTGTAGATACACAAACGCACACATATCATCAACTTCCAAAAAATTGTCTCTCTGATTGCAAATCTGAGGCTGCCGTCGTCAAATTTCAAAAGCAATTTTTTGGATGTTAATGTGTATGTGCGTTTGTGTATCTCAAAGACACAAATACACATACATCATTAACCTCTAAAATATTGTCTTTCTGGTAAGATTATGATGAGCAACAGAGTTCCATCTTGTAAGATTTCCTAACCCTTGTGATCTCAGAATAATTTGATTATGTCGGCGGTTTTCTATATAAACGTCGTGGTTATTTCAATTCTTGTCGTTAAGTAGATCTACCGACGTAGGATAACAAAATCCAAGAAATAAATTGTTAAAAAAATTCTTATTCAGACGACGGTTTAAATATAATGTATGACATATAAAGTGAACAAATACGACGTTAAATTCTATAATACGTCGTTATATGAAAACCCCAACTTGGTAAGATTTAAAGATGTTGTCGTAGAAATACGAGAAAGACGTCGTTATATTTACCTTTGCCGTAATTGTACATTAATTTAATACGGCGGTATTTTGTATTTTACCGCCGTGGATTTATTTGTAATTATACGACGCCTTATACGAAAACTTGGTCGTGTTAATTTCTGGGTAAAAACGACGGCTTTTTTTGAAACCGTCGTCTTTACTTTCTACGTCGGTCGGTTCATAACTTCCGCCGTTATTTGTTGGCTATGATTTTACCTCTTGAAAATCCTATTTCAATAAGACGTCGGTTTTTTAATTAAGTACGTCGTGTTTTAGGAACAGCCATTTGAAACTCCATTTTTTAGTTGTCTAATGTGTTATTACACGACGGTTTTATAAAACCGTCGTCTTTTAAAAAACAACGACGGTTTTCACTTAGACCGTCGTGTTTTTCTGGTTGTCTTTTTCACTTTTTGTAGTAGTGCCATGTCAGTTTCATATAAAAAAACGACGTGGGAACTTATAAAATCACTTATTCAAAAGTAAACTTTTGACGTGTAGCGCCCAACTAACCACGTTGTTTTCTGAATACAAAAAGTCAAAAGGCTTTTTACTAACCACGTCGGTTTATATTATTTTAATGTCGTGGTAACAACATATTAGGGCGGTTTTTATGACCACCATCTTTGTATTTATCTTTGGGACACTATATAAACTTTTTGGTCACCTGACCTAAACTTTACGTTCTCTCTAAAATTTTCAGTTTTCTCTCAGTTTCCCTCTCATTTCCGAAAAGCTGCGTTTCTGATTCTCAGTTTCCCTCTCAACTTCTACGTTCTTCCTTGTCTTCATCTCCAAAATTTGATTATGAAGGAAACTTTCTTTGCAAGCCAAAGGTTTGAAAACTTTCTCACTCTGTTTTTTCTTCATTTGAAGTTTTTTATTTAAAGAACGAGTCTCACTGATGTTTGAAACAAGACTCAGGTTTGAAAATGCCAAATCTTTTAATGTTCGCACTCACAGGTCATGTGAGGACGATAGGTTTTTCTCGAATTTGACATTTTTATTGACACACCACGACGGTAATTAAATTCGTGCTATTTCAATAACACGGATGTTCATAATAACTGACGTGGTGTGTTAATAAATACAACGTTTGAAAGAAAAAACCGTCGTCTGACTTGAAATGAACTAGGAGAAAGAAAACTGGGCAGTTTTTTTATGAATTTAAGTTAATGACCACGTCGTATTAACACATCCACGTTTCTGTAGATTAGCACGATGGTCCTGTTTTTTTTCCGTCGTCTGAACTTTCATTTTACGTCTGTATTTTACCTAACCGTTGTTGTTTTTCTTGCAGTTTGTTTTTCTCTATAAGCATGGTTTCAAAATCTCAAAGTAAGGATTCTCAAGCATCAAAAGGTCAAGGCAAGGACATTGCATTTTCAAAGGCACAATCTCTTCCAAGCAATCCCCCAAAGAAGATGAGATTTACTTCATCTTCCGAGAAAGACCCAAGCTCTGCGACATTTGATGAAGTGACGAAATCTACTCGCGGTATCAACACAATGAGCCGTGTTGTAAAGAGGAAAATCCAGAAGATTAAGCATGTGGTTGAGTACAATAAAAGTGGCAGACCACATGGCAAGGCTGCTATGGAGATGCAGAGTTACATTGGTGTTTTGGCACGCACCAGAGTCCCTCTTGTGGACAAGAAATGGACTCAATTGCCTAAGGACCTGAAGGAGCAGATTTGGGAAGCTGTTCAAATGGCTTATGTTGTTGGGGAAGGGGGCAAGAAGATGGTGTTGTCATCTGCCACCAAAAAATGGAAGGATTTTAAGTCTACCTTAACTAGGCAGTTTATCCTTCCATTCGCAAATGAGAAGGAGAAGTTAAAAGAGCCCCCTCAGCTTTATAACTTCATAGAGAAATCTGAATGAGATGCCTTTGTAGCTTCAAGGTTATCCCCAGATTTTGAGGCTGTGCATTCTGAGTAGTCACAGAGAAGGGAGAAATGCGAGTACAACCATAGGTCGTCTCAAAAATGGTACGTTGGTTTGGAGGATCAATTGGAAGAAACCATGCCCGGTGAAGAAATCGATCGATCTTTGCTATGGAAGAAGGCAAGAGAAGATAAACAGGGAAACATCCTTGATCCAAAGGTTGCAGAGAAGGCAAAATTAATTGTAAGTTTCACTAACTCTGTTCTAAACTTGTAAAACAGAGGTTTAATTTTTCATTCAGACGTCGGTCTTTTTATCAACCGTCGTTAGACGTGAAACCCCATGGCGGTTTTTAATCATCGCCTTTAAAAAAATATAAAACGTCAGTATTTTTATAAAACTGACGTTTGCATTGAATTACAATGACGGTTTTGTGTTTATGTATTATGTTTTTTAAATTAAATTTTGAACTTTCTTCATATTCACACGCACACACACTCTCGCTCCCTCTCTATTTCTCTACAATTGGTTTGTACACTATTTCTAGATCAGTGAATATTTTGGTTAAGTGTTTTTATCTATGATGTCAAATAAACGACGGTTATTTCATGGACTAACGTTTTAATATATACAAAACGACGGTAGTTTTAGGACGACGTATTAAATTATTTTCTTCGTCTGTTTTTAAAATAAACCGTCGTTATAACCTCTTTACCACGTTGGTTATTATTTTTATTAATTTATTAATTTGATTAGTTTTACTATCTGTTCACTCATTGACATTCTCTCTCTCACTTTTAGGATGATTTGAAAAAACAAGTCTCCGAGGGCACTCTGACTGTCTCTGGGAGTAACGATGTTTTGACCTTGGCTTTGGGAACCCCAGAGCATGGTGGAAGGGTTAGAGGTGTTGGAGCTGGGGTTTCCCCAACTCAATTCTTCAATTTACCGAGACAGCAGAGAGTAAAATTTGCTGACAAATTGAAGGAAAGTGTTATGGCAGTAGTGAGAGAGGAAACCAAAAAGATGGAGGCTAGGGCAAAGGAAAGTGTTATGGAGGCAGTCAGAGCAGAGAGGGAAATTATGTTGAAACAATTCAGTCAACTAATTCCCAACTTTGATCCCAACTTGCTCAGTAAAATTCCAACTACACCAACTACACCAATTACTCCAATTCCTCCAATTCCTCAAGAGCAAAGCCCAAAAAATCCAATGTCTGACAAAGCAAGCTGCTCTAATGTGAGAGCCCTTGAATTGGATGAAGACAATCCCACGAATGATGTTGATGCTGCTGAAAACCGTCAAGATCAAACGGTAAAATCTCTGACATTTGCTTTTTCTGAATTTTAAATTTTAAATAGACGTCGGTGTTTATTTTAAAACCCGTTGTCTAGTTTAACCTAGACGACCTTTCTATTGTGTAGTGACATTATAACGTTTACACAATGACTGTTATGTATTTACCGTCGTCTATAACCTTTACCCCGTCAGTATGTTATAGAAACCGTCATTGATATAATATACCACGTCGGTTTTGTTGATTTGTTGGAGTCGTTTATTTTACTTCATGAACACACTAACTTTTATTTCTTTATTTATTTCTTGTTACAGGATCTCTCAAAGCTTGACATGCTAACTCCTCTGTTAGCCCTATGCCAATATGTCGAGACCAAGTTGAAGCCTGCTAACGAGACCATTAGAGTTCACATGCCTAAGGAAATGTTTGGCACTGACCATGAAACCTGACTCTTAAGTGAAGACATTTTACAGTTTGCCTCCATGGTTGAGATTGGAGCTATAGTGATTGCAGTATACATGAGGTAATTCTAGAAATCCAATTTTGTTTTTTTTACATTTTCTTTCTTTTAAATTAAAATCTCATTGAATTGAATTGAATTTCATATATTTAATTAGGTACCTATTTGACTATTTAAAATTGGCAAATATGGTAAACCTTGTTGGCCTCATGGACCCTGGACAAGTCAGCTCTGAATCTGGAACGTTATCTCACCGCTCAAAACATCTCTCAGAAAGCTTGAAAAAGGCAGATGGGGATCAATTTTACTTGGTGCCTTATAATCCAGGGTTAGTCCCCTTCTATACTTGGTTCCTTGTAACATATTTTTTTGTAGTATATTTAATATATATGGATAATTTTGTGTAGGGGTCATTAGGTGTTAATAATTGTGAGGCCAGCTAAGGAGACTGTCTATTACATGAATTCATTGCCAAACCGCTCTGTTGACAAGGACATGAGAAATATAGTGAATACGTAAGTTTATTAATGAAAACCTATGATTTTTTATGTCTGCATTTGATTGATACAACGTCAGTATTTTCTTGAAACCATCGTCTTAATTGAAATACCACGTCAATTCTATTTTTAATTTTAGAACTTTTTAATTTTTTCTGTTAAACTTTCATTTAAAATTAACTTTGGTTATACTTCGTTTTTCTTCGTCACCGACGTTAGAATGAAACACAACGACGGTTCTTATTTTCCGACGTATTAAATAAACTACAACGTCATTTGTTTTACAACACCATCGTCTTCACTTATTTACCACGACGGTTAATAATTTTGATGCTGATTTTTAGTTTTGTCATTAACACTTTTTGTTTTCTTGAAACAGTTCAATCAAAATGTATAACTCTCACACAGGGAAACAATCATCACGTAAATCACTCATATGGAAAAATCTACAAGGCACTCCTAGACATCCAACAAATGTAGAGTGTGGCTATTATGTGATGCGTTTCATGAGAGATATAATTAATGATCCAGGCCTAGCCTTTGAGAAGAAGGTAAAATTTAATATATAATTTCTTTATTTTAATACCACGACGTTTGCTTTGAAAACTTACTTGTAACACGTCGGTTTTTGTTCTTTATTTGCAGTTTGACAAGAAAAAGGAACTAGTTGTGTATACTCAAGAATATATTGACGAAGGCAGGCTGGAATGGGCAGAATTCGTGAACAAGCAATTACAAAACAATAATTGATAATGTACATTTATTTAAAAAAGTTTAGGTTTATTTTAATTTTTTGACCATGTACATTGTATATAAACATATTTTTAGTAATTATTTGAACATTCCTAAAAAAAATCAAATGAAATATAATGTTGTTTCTATTTATTTTTTGTATAAAATATAAATGTGGTAAAATGAACTAAAATGAAAATAAATCATAAAAATGTAAATTAATTCCCAAAACCCGACGTCTCATTCATATTTACACGTCTCTTATATATAAACCACCGCCGTCTTGTTATAGCGGGAAACAAAACATCGACGACATTTCTCAAAAACGACATTTAAGGTTGATATACACGTCGGTTACTTTAAAAAACTGAAATCTAAGAAAAAATTTGTAGAGACATACAACGTCCGTTACACATTAAATGGTGACGTTGTATCCATAAACAACGTCGTCATCAGAATAGTAATAGACGTTGTAAATAACTAAACACGGCGGTTTTTACATTGCGACGTTTAATGTTTAATAGGACGTCATCATGAGTTACTTAATGTCGTTGTAAACTGATGCAACGTTGGTTATGTACGTTTTTATTCAATTTTTGTATGACTTTTATATTGTATTCCTAATATTCATAATAATTTCAAAACAAATTCCATAAAATAAACTGACAACTACTATGCACTCATTGGAAGATTTTATCTCTCCTAAATCTTTAAAAAATTTAATGTTAAAATTATTTTTATTTGTATTTAATTACTAATATTCAAAAAATATACGAAAAATAAACCAACAAATTCTATGCACTCATTGAGACAATATCTACCCCTACAATATCTAACTCTGTCAAAGGGTCTTCTTTGTACGATTTAAACGACGAGTCTCGCAAAACACAGACGTGGGAAACGTGTTAACACGACGTTTTGTATTATAGTTCACGACTTGGATAAATACATAAGCATCGGTGATGCCTGGTGCATGACGTGGTTCTGTTATTTTACGGCAGTTATTAAACGACAAATGACATGTAATACTCTTTAAACGTCTGTTGGTTTGCGTGTACGTCGTCGTTTATGGTTCACACGTCGGTTTTTTTTTTAACGTAGTAAAAATTAACCATGACGGTTTCTAGCTTATCCAAGTCTTTTTTCCTTCATTTAGAGACGTGGATAATTATCTGTACGTCGGTTCTTCTTTTGATCTTGACATGTAACAACCTTTAGATGTCTCGGTTTTCATAAAACTGTCGTCTAATGTTGTCAAAGATTTCATTTTAGGCTAATTATACAGTAATTACATGTTGGTTAGTAATAAATATGGACGTTGAATTCCTTATCAACGTCGGTTATTAACTGTCGTTGTTGTTAGTACAAAAGATGGCGGTCGATTTCACGATGGTTGGAAAACCTTCTACACGATGGTGGTTTCCTGTCGTCTATTTCAATTTTTGTAGTAGTGTGTCCAAAGTAGAGTTGGTCGTCCTCCCAATGCAAAGGTCATGCCAGGCCGACGAAAGAAGCTAAGGATTCCCTCGCAAGGAGAGGATATCATAAGGAGAAAATGCTTAAGGTGCAGTGGCACAGGCCACAATAAAAGCACCTGTAAAAACAATGTTCCACTACCTAATGTTGGACATACATTAAGAATTGTGTTGGTTTGTTATGGAGTGTGAATTTGAATTATATTTGTATTGGGTTTGGTGTTCTGTGGATTGTGAATTCTGTTAAATTTTCTTAATTTGGTATGTATTTGCGTATTCTATGTGCTACATTGTTGTCAAAATATGTCATCTTTGGGCCTATATTGTGTATTCAAATTTTCTGATTCAGTGGGTCGAATTGGGGGTGGGTATGCCATTTGCATCCCCATCCCCACCTTTATACTTGCAATACAGACTTGAAAAAAAAAGGATATATGAGGGCAATACACTAGCAATATACAAGCAATAAAGGGCTATACAATAGCAATACACATACTCCTATAAATTTATTCCAACACGAACTTGAAAAACAAAGATACACGGAAGCAATATAGTAGCAATACACAAGCAATAAAAGGCTATACAATGGCAATACACAAACTCCATGCTCCCCTATAAATTTATTCCAACACAGACTTGAAGAAAAATTAGATATATAGGGCCAATACACTAGCAATATATAGGCAATAAAGTGCTATACAATAGCAATACACATACTTCTATAAATTTATTCCAACACATACTTGAAAAAAAAAGATATACGGGGGCAATACACAAGCAATAAAAGGCTATACAATGCCAATACACAAACTTCATACTCCCCTTATAAATTTATTCCAACACAGACTTGAAGAAAGAAAAGATATATGGTGGCAATACAGTAGCAATACACAAGCAATAAAAGGCTATATAATGGCAATACACAAGCAATAAAAGGCTATACAATGGCAATACACAAGCAATAAAGGGATATACATGTGCAATACATATGCAATACATATCTGTCATAGCATTTGCCAATTAAATCACTAATTTGGTTACATTTGTATTTTTTTTCTTCTTTGCAAGAGGAATGATAAAACCATGGAAACTAGAGATTGACAAATTTCCTTCTAACTTAACTTTCATAAATTGATGAACTAACAATGTTATCTCAAATTTAAGAAAGTGGCAAAAAATAACAAATTTACAGCTCCTCTTGGTCGGGAATTTTAACACATTAGCAAAATTTGACGACATTCTTAGAACCAAATTTAAGCTGAAAGTTAGCAATTTCCTTCCCAAGAGAACGCTGCCACTTGAAACAAGACAATCTTCCATCTGTATAAAACGAATCAAAAATGCATATTAGAAGCAAATCATTCAATCACAATGGAAACAAAAACATAACATTCAATCACAACTGAAACCAATTTCAAAACAAAAACCAATTCCAAAATTCATAACAGAAACCAATACCAAAACATATTCAGAAACCAATACCAAAACAAGTTCAGACATATTTACATGCACTACAAGTATCATACACATACATTTACATGCACTACAACAAATAGAGTGGATAAATGTAAAACTGTAGTATGATATACATTTTTTAATAGAAGAAAGAAAAAAAATTCTTATATACATCATTTAAGAGCTGAGCTTGAAGTTTGCTGAGTTATATATACCTCTGAGAAATCTATTTGTGATTTCTCCAGTGAAGGACGACCTTCAAGAATCCTATCTTCATACAGATTATTGGCCTTTTTAAATGACCCAATTCTTCATATAGCAAACTTTCACAAGATAGTACCATTGCAAAATTAAAGTTCACATTCATGCACATGATTTCGTACTACTCAATTGCAATATAAAAGTTATTATAAACATGGGTGAAGTGAATGTGTGTCTTGGCAGACGAATAAAAATACAAATTAGGAAATCATCAATAGTGCATTTGGCATTGTTCAAACAGTTAAAGAAGCACAATCTCAGAGAAGAAGAAGAGCAAGACAATGGAACTAGATAAATGCAAGAGCTGTCAAACCTTCAAGTTTTCCAAGAACCCTTTTCACAGCACCAACACAATCTTGGCATGATACCAACCTTGAGGACTATAGACTGCACCAAAAACATATCCAAGATTGAATTACGAAAAATAGAGAAAACCAAGATCCAACATATGCCAACTTTACAATATCAAACTTATGTTAAAATATTGGCATTCTCATAAAACTTACAAACTCCACAATCACTTTTGGAGATATCCTCCACCTCAAGACATAATCAATTTATGTAGTTCATTCAAAAAATCACATCCCAAAACAGAACAAACAAATTTAGATCATTGAACCCAATAACTGTGTTTCTTCACTTGTTTTTTGTCATAATAAAAACCTTACTCAGTAATTAAATTCAATAAGCAAAAGAAAATCTTCAAAATCATTGTAGATTGGACAAGCTTCAAGCATAATATTCCTTAAGACAAATTGAGAAATATTTGTTGCACAATCTCAAAATTTTGGTTCAAAAAGTTCTTGTATAATCCCATTGAAATAACATTCTCTACACAAGCTGAAAATATTAATTGTAAACAAAGAGAGTAAAATTTTAAATTAAACCCACAATTACGTTTCAACAAATTTATGTACAATCTCACCCAAATTTGACTTGGAGGGACTTGAACTCACATCAAACACCAAAAATCAAAACTCATACATGAAATTGAAACAAGGAGAAGAAAACCCAAATGTGTAGGAGAAAAGCCAAGTTGTCTACCTGAGACGCCATCTATAGGCATGGAGGTCGAAATAGGTTATAGAGAGTGAGAGATGGAGGTGGAAAGGTCGTTGTCGCCAATGTGGGTTAGGGTTTCTGAGGAGGTGACAGTGACTGTAGTCGATGTGGGTGTGAGCAAGAAAGAGAGAAGAGAGGAGAGGAGGGCTAAGTGAGTGAGATTGAGAAATTGTGAAAGAGGATTTGAGAGGGCTCAGAATGACTAAAAAAAAGTGAAAGATGGGCAATAGGCTGTCAATAAGGAGTTTATATAAGGGGCATTTGTGATTGGGTTTCAAAATAAGGATATTAGTGAATAAATTAGGTGAGCCAGGGGTAAAGCGGCCAATTTCCCTAGGTGCTTTGCCTAGAAGCTCGAGTTGGTTCCTTAAAAGCTGATTAAACCCATGAATATTCAATTGACGCATGATTGCCCAAAAAGGAGAGACACGCATTAGTTTGCAACTGAATAATCCAAAAGGCGCCACATCATCAACGAGCCTTCCGTCCTACATCGAAACAACACAAGAAGGGAAGCCAACTTTCCCAATATAAAATAGGCGTACTTTTTCACCAAAAGAGGTAATCTAAACTTAATCCACTCTTAAGTACAATATTTTTTACACCTCCTTTGAGGAAAAAACTGACTTAGGCATCAGAGAGTGGTTGGTGGCTCTCATGTTGGTAATTTTTAACAACAATATTAAAACATTGCAAGTGCACAAATCAAATGATAGTATAGTAAGCAAGCAAGGGTCGTTCCCACAAAGATTGTAATCTAAAGAGATGTTTATCAATGTCACACAACGGAAGCTGAAATAGAACTAAACACGAAAAAAAAAAGTTGAAGCCACAAGGACTTCTGCACACAAGCCAACACCAAAGTGGGTTTTGATTTCACTTTGTAAATAAAACAAAGCAAGGATTTCATTTTGTAAATAAAACAAAGCAAGGAAAAGAAAATAAAGCATAATTTAAATTAGAGTTTAAGAAGAATCAGTTTTAAATCAGTCAAGAGCAATAGCTAGGACTCAGTATCCACCTCCAAGCAATCAATCAATCCATAAACAACAATAGATAATCAATTTTCAGCAAGAATATGATGACGACACTCATAACAAGATCATGGCATTTGACTCGAGTTGTATGATTCTTTCTTAAGTGTATGTAAAGTGTATGGCATTTACATCAATACTTATATCCTTAATTGAAATCCAGTATGACATTTACTCAAATTAACAATCAAGAATCCATTAAGAGCAAAGAGAATATGAGTGTCACAAAAAACCTAAAATATGGCATCTGAAAAAGTGACCAAAGCCGTGTGGGTTTGTGTAGACTACAGAAACCTCAACGAGACTACCTCGAAAGATGAGTATCCCATGCCAATGGTTGATATGTTAATTGACGGAGCAGCTCACAATCAAATTTTGTCATTTATGGATGGTAATGTGGGGTATAACCAGATCATGGTCGCAGAGAAGGATATTCACAAAACTACATTCAAATGCCTAGGAGCAGTGGGGGCATATGAGTACATTGTTATGCCTTACAGGCTTAAGAATGCAGGGGCTGCTTATTAGAGAGCTATGAATGCCATATACCACGTTATGATTGGACACACCCTCGAGGTCTACATTGATGATGTGGTTATCAAATCATAGGAGAAAGTTGAACATGCTAAGGATCTATCCTTAAAGCTTTTATTGGAATGAGGAAGTATACGCATACTCCTTTAAGCTCAATTGCGACAGCACGAACAACAAGGCCAAATACAAAGCTCTAATCATTGGACTAGAAATGTTGCTAGAACTCAGAGTCAGATATCTGGAAGTAATTGGGGATTCTCAACTAGTGATCAAGCAATTGACAAATGAATACAAATGTAGAGATCCAAATATGATAGCCTATTATGTGGTGGCCTGGAATTTGACCTCTACATTCAAAGAGAGAAGGATCTGGCTACCAATGAAATGGCACAAATTGCTTCTAGTATTCAGATACAAGAAAATCAATCCAAAAGAACCGTCAAGGTTCAGAGGAAGTTCTCACCTTCAATCATAAGCAAAGGTATGAACCTCGAGATTAATACCAATGAAGTGCATGCTGGAGACTGGAGGAAACCTTTGATTGATTACTTGTCCAATCCATCTCCAATGGTAAACAAGAAAGTCAAATACCAAGCTCCAAATTTTGTGCTCCTGAATAATGAATTGTTCCGAAGATCCACTAAAGGCGTCCTCCTGAGGTGTCTCAGAAATAAGAAATAAATGTAGGTTATGGGTGAAATACATGAGAGATCTTGTGGCGCTCATCAGTCAGGAAAGAAGATGAAGTGGTTTATCAAGAGATATGGGTATTTCTGGCAAACTATGGAAAATGATTGTTTCAGCTATGCTAAAGGATGTGAAGATTGCCAACAAAATCGCCGAATGCAGCATACACTAGCAGTTCCTTTGAATCTGATAATCAAGACTCGACCTTTTAGGGGATGGGCTATGTATTTTGTAGGAAAAATTGCACCTAGTTCCAGCCACGAACACACTTTCCTCATCATAGCCACTGATTACTTTACCAAGTGGGTGGAGGCCAAGGCATTAAAAACCATCTCTTCAGTTGCAATAGTCACCTTCATCAAACAACAGATCATTCATAGGTTTGGAATTCCATAAAAAATTACAACTGATAGAGGCACTTCCTTCATTTCAAAAGAAATCTAGACTTTTGCTAAAGAATACAACAACAGATTTGTGCAGTCTAATCCTCTTTTCCAAGAGAAAATAGTCACGCTGAATTTACCAACAAGATATTGATCAACATCATCAAGAAAATGGAGGAAGACAATCCCAGGGATTGGCACAAAAGATTATCCAAGGCTCTGTGGGCAGACAGAACCTCTAAAAAAATGGCTATAGGCACAACACCTTTTGCTCTAACATATGGCCATGATGCAGTGTTGCTTGTAGAGATCAATGTACAATCCTTGAGACTAGAGAAACAATCAGGAATGGACGAGGTAGCTTATACAGAAGCCATGATGCAAGGATTAAACCAACTAAGTGCGATTCATGCCAAAGCCTTGAACCATTTGACAGTTGGTAAACAAGAAATGGCTCGGGCCTACAACAAAAGAGTTCATGAGAAGACTTTTGAAGAAGGAGCATTAGTATGTTGGGCTATTTTACCACTTGGAACACACGTGGCAGGTCTAAGGAAATGGAGTCCTACCTAGAAAGGCCTCTTTCTGATCCAGGATAGAGATGGCACTACTTATCAGCATCCAATTAATGGACAATGGTTGAAAAAGTTCCTAACTTTTTGTGGGAAACAACAAGCATTGATCTTAGTAAGGACTGAACCATGGATTGTTAATTTTATTTATGTCCGCGACCATTTTCAATACAGTTACCATCACTTTTGTAAGAATTACTCATGTTAGGAAGCGAAATGTAGAGTGTCCATGCGGAGCTTTTCAGTCCGAATGGTTTTCTTCCTTCCACCCCACACCTCTAGACCAACTTCCACATCAAGTTTTTTCAATTGCTCCTGGGTAGAGGTCATAGCTTCCAACATCTAGTCAGCTGCCTTTTGCTCCAACACTTGCTGCAACCTAGCCTCCAAGGTTTTTAGATGCCAATCTACCTGCCTTAGCATTATCTCGTTGTCAGTATAATCTTTATGATGTGCCTCCAAAATCTTTTTCTCTTGTGCCAGTTTTGTCTCTAATTCTGGAAGCATTTCAAATTCTTGAGAAGAAGCACCAAACTTTTTGAATTTGTCAACCAAAACTTCCAGGTCCACTTTGGCACTTTGAACTGAGGCCATACATAGTGTTAGATATATGCCCTAGAAGCCAATATAAAAATGGATAAATCTAAGGAAATAATATATAATAATTAAATGGGCAAGAACGTTGCTTTAGATACATAACATACACAAAGTAACAAGTCCATAGATTAAGATATAAATGAAAAGTGGTCTAAAGAAGTTAGATGCACGAGACCTTTCCATACATATGAGTATCATATCCCAAAATGTTCCTGGTCATAAGATCACCAATTGGACAATGTGACCCGCAAAGACTGGTACACATTATGTCTGCTCAATTGGGAGAATGACTAGTCTCAAGTTATTCGTGTAGAGACATTGAGACAGATGTGTAGGTGCTCTATAGAAGATGGAGTCCACTGAATGCAATCAACTCTAGAATTCTTGTATGGAAGTCTTACTCACAAGTGTCAAACAAAGAATTCTAAGTTGTGATAATGCAAATTAATCCTTAGACCCAAGACATCACAGTTTTCTTGTGTATATGTTGTTTCTCTTTGAGAGCACTATGCCATATCAAAATAATGTGAATTAAAGGTGTTCCACAGGATTCTCAGCATGTACGCAGAGATAGGTGAATGTAACAAGAAATCTCTGGTCTTAGTAAGAAAAGAGAATACTCTAAAGATATGATTTGTAATCTTTCGCCAAAGTATCACATGGAAATTAAAACAAGAACTTTTGCATTTTCATCAAATTAAATCATATAATCTAGAGATGTCATTTTAGGGATTTTGACACAAGTTTACCATTTCTCGAGAATATGACATAGAGTATTGAATTAGAGAAGGATTGAATTGCATTGTAATAACAAACTGACTAGGTTCTCTAAATGAATTCTTTTTAGCTTGGGTAGCCATGACATACTGCTAAGTGTCACTCATGCCTTGTAGAAGCCCTGTAAGGACTAATTATAATTAGCCTTCGCCAATAGGGAGAATTGTATAGAGGGATACAATTCACACTTGATTCAGAGTGAATCATTTATACCCACTGTCTCGCTAATTATTCAATTAAAGTTATAAAAATTTAATTAAAGGTCCCATATGACTTGCAAATTCAAAGGGATTTGACCATATGGACTTAGACACATATGTGACATAGTATAGGATTAATGTGTTGGATCAAGATAGCGCAAAAGATGACACGCGAAGGGGGGTGCAGCTACACTAGGGCATGAGGGTATTTTTGTCACTCTTGTGACATATTTGATCCTATAAGTGTGTAGCTATGGTATCCTATCATCCTAGGGGGTTTTCAAGTTGGTGAAATTGGAAGAGAGAAAACATCAAGCTCTCTCTCCCTAACCCCTTGAACCGGTCACATCAAGTGAGCATGCTAGCACCACTCTTCACTTGTTGTCTACTCATTCTCTCATCCCATTCAATCCTTGATGAAAAGCTTTGGGGAGATGAATATCTTTGTACCTATTTGGAGAGCTACAAGGTAGAGAATCAACATCAAAGGGAGAGCCAACAACAAAGGGACCATTCCCTCTACTTAAACACCATTCTTGGTTTCAAGATTCGCCCCAAGGGTATGAACACCTTATCTTTCTCTCAAATTGGATTTAGAGAGTCTTTGGTGCACACTTTCATAGACTTATAAAGATTAGGACTAAATGAAACTTGCATGAATCCTTAGATTATTTAATGCTTCCGCTAGTATTTTGATTTCATATTAGATATAGCATGCTAGGTGATTTATACTCTCAAAGTTTGGTTGTAGAGTGGTTTTTTTTCTTTTTTTTTTTGGGAAATCTCTACACAACACCATTCCCACAATATTCCCTTCAAGTGGTATCTAGAGCCAAAGTTCTACGAAAAGGTGCACCCTTTTGAGTTTTAGAAAGAATATGGGCTTAGTTCCATGGTTATAAATATTATAACATGTCATATCTTTCATGATTGACTCACATGTATGCTTGATACTTCGAATTTTGGATGTTGCATGAAAAAGATTTTTCAAAATGGACAAAGGGGTGGCGGCATCATTAGGCTTTTTGGTCTTGTGTGTTTTTCATGCTTATCATACATTGTTGTGTTGGCCTTGAAATTCTAAACACAAATATGATTTTTCCAAGATTTTAGGATTTTATATGATTTTATAAAAAGGTTTTGAAAGAATAAGAATTTACTTTATGTTCTTGAGATTTTCATGAAAAGTTCTTCTTGATCCCTAGAGAATATTGCTTTTTGATTCATGGAATTGTATGAGATATGATGGTTACATGTTAGTCAAAAACATTTTATGACAAGGGCCATAGGGTTGTACCTTATGTCTCCCATTGCCATTTCATCTTTTGAAATTGACCAATGAGAATAAAGATGTTTTATGGGTACAATTTGGAATGTCATGACAAGTGGGACCGCACACACAAAACCTCCCCTCCCCTTGCAAATTTCGGCAGCCACCTTAGGGAAACCCATTTTGGGTCTTCATGCAATAACACAAAAATGTTGGGTCCAATTTTAAAATTTAGTATTTTTTATTTTGGCCCATAACTTTTGAAATTGCAAATTTGCTCTAATACACTAAAAACAAAACTGTTTTTGTCTTTTATTGAAACATTAAAATTTTATGTTTGATTTAAATGTTCCATTGGAAATAAGCCCATAGGTTCTAAAGTCTCAATTGTTTAATGTATCATATCCTTTATTGTTTAATTTGATTAAATGATTGGAATAAGGATTATTATGGACTTAAGGCCCAAAAAACCAAATTGAGCTATCTGATTGGCCGTTAATTCATTAGATGAATGGGTTTGGTTGAATGGATGGATTATAAATAATTTTATTTTTGAGGTTGCTTAAATTAGCAATTGGTTTGTAAATTAAATAGAAGCTTGCATGCTTCTCCTCTCTCATTCTCTTATGTAATTTCTATCTCCCTCCAAACACAATTCCCTCAAGGTCCATTGAGCCTTGAGTATTCTATAGAGATTAGGAAGATGGAAGCCCAAGAAGGAGACAAATGCCCATCAACCATGAATGTTTTAAAGAAGTTAAAACGCGTAATAAAATCAATCACCCGTCAAAGAACTAGATCCAACATCTTGGCTCGATGTTGAATCGAAAATGAAAATTTCATAATCATCCATGAGCTTATAGACTGTTAGAAATATGCCCTTAAAGCCAACTAATTATGTAATAGTTAGAGTTAAGGACATCTTTGATAAAAGACATATTATGTTATCAATGGGCACGAAAGGTTGTTTTATACATTAAATCATCCAATGTTATCTTTCAATATGCAGAACAACCATAGTCCAAGGAATACACAAGTGGATATGAGAGCTATGTAATGAGATTGCATATATGGAGACTTCTCATCATCCCTAAATCTTGAATATGTTCCTGGTCATAGGAATATTGATTGGGCGTCAATATTCCACAAAGACCAATACACACAGTATCGTCTCTATATGTAGGGAATGGCAAGGTCTCAAGTCATTAAGTGTGGAGACACATCGATATGTGTGTAGGTGCTTGTAGAAGATGGAAGTCTTTACTCACATGTCAAGCTGGAACTTATAAATTGCAATGGTGCAAACTAATCCTTAGACCTGAGGCATCATAGATTTTTTGTGGCTATGTTGTTAATCTTTAAGGACTATACAGTCATGCTGAATTATGCATAGCTTAAAGGTGCTCATCAGGATTCTCAATAGAGTCATGGAAGCCAATGAATGTACAACAAGGAATCTCTACTCTCAGTAAAGGAGAGAGAATACTCCAAGATATGATTGGTCAAATCTCTGTGCAGAGTAGTGGATAAGACTTGAAAGAAGAAGTCTTCAAATCTTACCAGGATAATCATATAAAAGAAATGATTCACATTTGGATATTGACAATCAGATTCCATGATCTAATAATATGAATAAGGAGTATTGACATAAGAGAAGGATTCAATTGCACAGTCATTCCAATTTGAATAGGTTTTTTCACAACGTCTCATTTAGCTCAGATAACCGTGACTTGCTGCTTGGCCACAACCATGGTTTGTGGATGTTCTAAAAGGTTTTAATTAACCTTTATTAACAGGAAAAATTAAATTGTGAAATTTAATTCATATATCATCTCTGAGAAGTTGAGTCAACCCACTACCTTGCAAAAGGGAATCTACGGATCTACACACTCAAAGAATGTGATTAGAGGTATAAATGAGGAGAAATGAAATGAGGAGTCACAAGTCAATGGTTGATAATCAAATGTCAAAGTCAACATGTTGACCGGAGCAATTAAGCAAAGTCAAATAGTTCAATCGGGTCAATTAAGTAAGACTATAATTATAATTAAAAGATTAATTACGGAACTAATATTGACATATAGAAATATTGGATTGGGCTTTATATATCATTTAAAAGGAAATGGACAAAATAGCCCAAAAAGCTATTGGGCCCAAGGGATAAGTGACACAAGATGACATGACTCATGGACCAAATGGAGCCTCAAATACCCACCCAAATTTCGGCAACTAAGGGGAAGCTCTCCCCTTGCCTTTTGTGTTGTCCTATATAAGCTAAATTTTGGAGAAAACCTAGATAAGGATTTTTGGTTTCCTACTTTGGTTGATGAGTGATCATCTTTGTATCTCATCTTCCAAAAAACAAAAAAAAAAAAAAAAAAAAAAAAATTCCAAGAAGTAGACTAGCATCCATACTTATTGATTACCTTCTCTTCATCTCTAGGAGCATTTGGTGTGGTGAGGTAGAGGACTCCAATCTTGGAGCCTTAAGGTGAAGGAGTCAAAATCAAGAGAAAGAAAAAGTCTTTCCAACAAAGGTGTTCATTCTTGAGAAATCAAGAAAAGGTCATCGAGGGTAAAAATCTATTTCCTTTTTCCCTTTTCTATTTGTGTTCAAAGAGACTAGGCTAAGATACTTTGTTTAAAATGAGAAAGGTTTAGCTCAACTAATATAAACAAAATGAATCCGCCATTTAGAGTGGTTTTGTTGTATAGATTGTGGCTAAAGTTCATTTCCTAAGCATTAGATG